GCTCGACACCAGCAAATTTTGCCTTCAGTTTGCAGCAGCGCGCTAAAACGTTATGTGTGGACGTTTTAGCGCTCAACGCTTGAGCATTCTCCATTTCTTCAGAATCTTCTTCTTTCTCTCTGCTGCTTGTTGAGCTTCATTTTCCTACAAGAACAATGTAAATTTTCAACATAAGCTTCAGAACTTGTATTTAGGACTTTCTAGGACATTAACCCTCTTTTCCATCCATTTAATCACATAAATTAAACTAATTTATGCTTTAAAACCTTATAAACCAAGGGTTTATCAATGACCTTACATCAACACCACCAAATGACCTTACATACACTTCTCCCCTTCGTCGATCTTCCAGGAAGAGAAGACAACCTACATATCTAATGGATTTCCATTGCAACCACGTTGTTTCAGCTGCCCAATCTTCTTCTTCAAGTACTCGCTATCCACTTTCTAATGTTTTATCAGATGCTGAATGTTCCCCTTCATATACACGTTTATGTTTTAACCTTTCTGCCATGACTGAACCTAAGTCTTTTACTGAGGCATCTAAACTTCAGTGTTGGCAAGAAGCCATGACAGCAGAATTATCTGCCTTAGATTTAAATCATACATGGGATCTTGTTGATCTTCCACCTGGGAAACACATAGTTGGCTATAAATGGGTGTATAAGGTGAAGTATAAGGCCGATGGGACCGTAGAACGTTGTAAAGCTCGTTTAGAGTCTAAAGGGTACACACAATTGGAGGGTGTGGATTATTTTGACACTTTCAGCCCAGTAGCTAAAATGACTACTGTCAGAATGCTCCTTTCGATTGCATCAGCCAGAAACCAGATTGTTGAACAGCTAGATGTTAACAATGCCTTTCTCCATGGTGATTTAAATGAAGAGGTCTTTATGGCTTTACCCTCTGGTGTCCATGCTCCATCAGGCAAAGTCTGTCAATTGCGCAAGTCACTTTATGGCTTGAAACAAGCCATCCGACCATGGCATTCCAAATTATCTTGCTCATTGGTTTGTCTTGCTTATGTTCATTCTACTGACCACTCTTTGTTCATTAAGTGCAATGGTAGTTCTTTCACAGCTCTTCTCATATATATTGATGATATAGTCTTAGCTGGTGATAGCAATGTTGAGATTCAACATGTAAAAGAAGCCTTGGATAGCAAATTCCGTATAAAAGACTTAGGTCCATTGCGTTATTTCTTGGGTCTTGAAATCTCCAGGAGCAAAACTGGTATCGCTGTTAATCAACGCAAATATGCATTGGAGATCTTGGCTGATACTGGTTTTTTAGGTGCTAAATCTTCTTCTACTCCTATGGTACCTGCAACCAGACTTTCTCGTAAAGTTGGATCTCCTCTTTCAGAGTCAGAGGTTGCTTCCTATCGACGTTTGGTTAGTTGTCTCTTGTATCTTACAACCACTCGTCCGAATATCTGCTTTTCTGTTCAACAACTGAGCCAATTTGTCAGTGCTCCCACATCTGATCATTCTACTACTGCTAATCGTGTCCTTCAATACATCAAAGGTTCTCTTGAAACTAGGGGTGTTAAGGGGCCGAGTCGAGCTTTGATCTTAACGAGCCAAGCCTGTAATTAAACGTGTCAGACTGGCCTTAGCCTATTACTTGTTACGAATATAATATTGGCCCGTGGCCTGGTTCGTTTACAAAAAAATAAAAGCCTATGTTAAGCTTGTGGCCTGGTTTATTTATTAAAAATAAAAATCTTACCTTCCAATTTGCAGCAGTATTTAGCCCATTAATCATACACTGATATATATTTTTCATTTTTTTGTAAGAAAATAATAGTTGTTTCTTTTATAATAAAAAAACATATTAATATTAAAAAGTCAAAATAACAACATCACCTTTACTTTACTTTACGTGTTTGCTTTTCCTTAATTTTCTTCCACATTCTAGGATTGAACCCTACCATCAACAGAAAGAAAGCAATCTGTGAGAGAAAAAACCCCAAATTCTATTTACATAACAGGAACCTTTTATTTCAAAGGATATAAAAGATATAACTTGCATTGTCAATGATGGAGACATAAAGAATTGTCAACCACATGAAGATATGCCTTTCAAGTTTCAACCATCGATAGGTTAAGGCACCAATAATTGTCCGGAGGGACTCATGTAAGGGTTAAAAACTACATCTATATAAGACCAAATAATTGTTTGAAGAACTACCAAAGCTCAGAGCATCAAGACTAGGAGCAGTTCTATATCCAAACAGAAAAGTCCCAATAACAAAAAACAAAATTGACACAAACGACAGTGCAACGAATGAGTTTTTGTGGGTTTGTTTATGTGAAGGAGGATGAAGGATAATGGTTTGGAAAATTGGAAGGACCGATTTGGTTAGGTGTGGCTATGGATCGGTGAAGATTGGTGGCTGGTTGGGTTGGGGTTTCTAAAATAAAAAGAAAGAAAGAAAGGGTTGTGGGTGGGTTTCGATGGAGATGGCTTCACTGGTGGTATGCATGATTCATGTCGGTCCAAGGAAGAAGAAGATGGTGGGGGACTGGGGGTGCTATGTGGCTGTTGGTTTGAATGGAGAAGAAGATGGAGGGACGGTGGCTGGTTTCTTAGTTGGGCCGAGGAGATGGGAGGTGGTCCGACGGTGGTGGTGGACCTGTGATTTGGGCGGTGGCTTCCTTGGGTTTTGTAAGGATGAAGATATAAGATGTAAAGGAAGGAGAGATGGTGACCGGCTGTGTTATTGGGAGTGATTTTGGCTAGCGGTAAGTGTTGGCCTGAATCCGTGAAGAAAGGTGGAGGTTGGGGTTTCTGAAAAAACAAATAAAGAAAGAAAAAAGAGAAGAGAGAAAGAAGAGAAGAGACCGGTTGTCACAATAATAAAAAAAAAATCAATGTAATGACGGGCCAGCCTCCCAGGCCCCAAGGCTGGGCTTATCCGTGGAAGCCTGAAGCCTTTTAAATAGAAAGGCTTTTATGTGTGTTCAAGTTTGAGCCCAAAACTTAAAAAGGATGGGTCGGGCTAGGCCGAAACAGGCTAGGCGTAAGGCACCTGGCCTCATTATCACCCCTACCTGCAACCGGTTTATTTTTTCCATCTGATAATTCTCTTCAGTTAAGTGGATTCACGGATTCTGACTGGGCATGTTGCCCAAATACTAGGAGATCAGTTACCGGCTTATGCATATTTCTTGGTCCTTCATTGATTGGTTGGCGTTCCAAGAAACAATCTACAGTTTCCCGTTCATCTAGTGAAGCTGAGTATCGGGCACTTGCTTCCATGACTTGTGAACTTCAATGGATCTCTTACTTGCTTCGAGATTTTGATGTTCCTTGTTCTACAACAGCTCTTGTTTATTGTGACAATGTGTCAGCTATATATCTTGCCAAAAATCCTACTCTTCATGAGAGATCAAAACATATCGAGATTGACATTCATGTTACTAGGGAAAAACTTCAGGCTAGTTTGTTACGTTTATTTCCAATTGCTTCTTCTGATCAATTGGCTGATTTGTTTACTAAAAGCCTTCATCCTGCTTCGTTTACTACTATGGTTGGCACGCTGGGACTTCGTGACATTCACCATCCCGCTTGTGGGGGGTGTTGACGTATGTATCTGATCAATCTCAGTCAAGATAGTTGCAGAATGATAGCTTACGTGTCTAAAGCTAATTGACTCCTAGTTTCATGGAAGTAATTGTACTTTCTGTTTAACTTTTATGTTATTCAGTTAGTTAGTTCATTAAGCTTCTCTTTGTTTTCCACAATATATATGTGTGTGTGTGTGGACTTGTAAACCAGTGTAGTCAGTTTTTACACGCTATGAAATATAATCACGTTTTCATTCATAAGAGATAGAATTTATCTCCTACACACACAAATTCAATATGGATCCCATTTTATTTTATTTTTCTCTCCCCTGAAAATGAACCCCACATGTACAATGAGTTTGTGAGAGATAATACTTATCTCTTACTACATGAAAAAATTATTACCCTATATATATTGGTAAATAATTATAATATTTTCAACACGAGAAAATTGTGTCAATTCAAAGAATGTAAAATTGTATCATTTTAAGAAAGAAGAAGAGATAGATAAAGGAGGAAAGAGAGTTGACAAAAAAAAATAAAGATGTAAATCTCACCTCTTTGCTATGTAGCACCGATACGACACGTGACATGACACGACACTCCGACACGTCAATCTTAAAAAATTATGAATTTTGACACGTTGGGACACGTTTTAATATTAAATAATTTTTAATTTATATAATGTATATTTCATTTGATATTTAATAATTTAACAAAAAAATGAAACTAAATTAATAATACACATCAACACGTTATAAAGATGGAAGCTTTAATAAAAAAAAATAAGAATTGAGATAAGATAGAAATATAATATCAGATAGAGAAATCAAATCATATTAGAGAGAGAGATTAGAGACAAGGAGATACAACAAGAGCGTGATAGAAATTGACAACAATGATACTGAGATTATCTCTTATCTACTTAAGGGGAAAAAGACAAAAAAATAAAATTGATATAATCAGGTGGAAGCTTTATTAATATATTTTAATTTTTAAAATAAATAATTTTTTTAAAAAAAAAATTACGAAAATGCTATTTGACCGTGTCGGACACGGTCAAATTCGCGTGTCGGAACAGTCAACGTGTCGGAAAAAGTTGACCTTGTGTCCGACACCGTATCGGAGCGTGTCGCCGTGTCGGACTCGACTCTCCCTGCTTTTACAAGTGTCTGTGCTTTCTTGCCTCTTTGTTCTTTGTGAAAATAAAAGAATATAAGTTGTGTCGTTTAGAAAGATAAACATTTTTTTCCTTTTAAAATAAGCTACTCTAGTTGAAATCCGTGTGTCGTACACCAGGTCCATGGATAGAGCTTATTGCAATAATGCACTGTTATTAAAATCAAACTAAATCATCTAGTTGGACTAATTCAACTAGGAACGATTCAATTGGGAACGGAAAAATTTGAGAACCTATGAACAAGTATGCTCATTAGCATTGCACAAATATGTAACATACACTTTGAAGAATTTTCATGACTTCTAATGAGCATAAAAAAGTTGGGTTAAAAAAAGAAGTAGGTAATTCACATTTGAAAGTCAAAAATATGATTCGAAGAAATACAAAAGGCAGGTTGGTGGATTTGAACAGTTGGAGAACTTGTAATGCAAACAGAAATGTCAAAAAATTTAAGCTTCCCTTTTTTTTTTTTTTTTCCTTCCTCTCTAATACCATCTAATCCAGCAGCTGAAAACAGCTGTTGTCTATCTCAAAAGGGATAACTATTTTGAAGGAAAAACCATTGAGGGTTAGCTATAAGGAAAGGCGTATACGTTGCTCTTCTCTCTTATCAGAGGTTACATATGAAGACTGGTTTTCTCTCTCTGCAAAGCACCTTTTATAGGGAAGAAACCCTTTGCCACGTGTTTCAGGTATCACTTTCACCCTTAGTTGGGATATGGATGATGTCTCACTTGGTGTACTGTGACCAACAAGTTCAAATTTTCCATCCCTTTTGCTGAGGCAATGGACATTTACGTCAAGGGGTATTGGTTTGCATGCCTCAATTGTTGGAGAACATGGTCTACAGGTATCAGTTACAAATAGAATCGTCCCAAAAAGTTTGAGAGTACGACGAGATGATTCTTCTGCTGTGTCTTCTTTGTCAGGAAGACTTTCATTGGTGGGAAGCTCGAGTTTCTAGACATTAAGATCAAAAAGAAGAATACAAAATCATATATCATTTTCTCAAGCTATTTTAGTGATAATATTGTAGTCAATAAAATGAAATGGATTGGGAAATACCAAAAGAGGTTTCTCATCATGAGCTGAATCAACATCTAGCCCGGGTTCCTCTGATGGTGTTTTGGGTTCAGCAAGTGAAAAACCACTTGTATGGACACCACTTATGGATGACATTGGTGATAAACTTCCATTTGGTGTATCTGAATCAGAGGAACCAAGGCTGTCTGAACCAACTGCAGATAATACTGATTTGGGAGATTGGTTTTCTTGATCAAAATCTGATGACTTCAGAGAATTAGACTTCATTGGCTGTTCCAGTATCGAAATTTCTTTATTGGAGTTCTCTACTAGCTTACGAGGGTAAGGATGCATTGGCTTTCGTTTTGGTCTTGGAGGAGGAATTTCAATCGACTCCACAGTGCTTGTAATGTTCCCACTAGAGTCACGAAGAACCTGTCATGAAGTTAAGACAAAGGAGTTAATTAGAGTGAATTCAAGCCCAGGTCAATGAACCCTTCAATCTCAAAGAAGTTAGCACTTTGGATATCCTAGGGTCATCAAACTCTTAACATAGTTTGATATATGGTTTATGGCAAATAGACAAAATATGGTAGAGAATGGTTGCTAGAATGAGCAGTAAACCTTAGAAAAAAACTTCTGAGCATGACTTCGAATCTGAACAGCAGTCTTTGTGCCAACATGTTCTGTGGTGAAAATAAAGGATCTCAAAACTTAGACCAAGCACAATCATACTCCTTCATTAGTTATTTATATTTTTCTTTAACTAGAAATCCTAAAAGCATTGTTGCCTAAGATATGTAAGTTCTAAACTAATGATACCTTCGATACGTCGCCAGGCCCGGCCATACAGCTTTAAAGCTTCAAGGAACTTCTTATGTTCTTCATCTGTCCATTTCTCTCTCTGTTTGGTGATAGTATATGGTTTCCTTACCTATAGAAGTAGAAAGAAAAATTGATTAAAACAAAGATAACACAAAGACATGTGAAAATCAAATTTTTATAATATGCCAGTGCCACAAGTACATAAGATTCAAGGGAGAACCTTCAGAGCATAGTCATTCCCGCAAGAAAACTGATCATTAAGTTGAATATGTGGAACAGAATGTAGTCCAGAACTCAAAGATACTCCATTTCCAACTGGAGGACCACCCATTGATCTAGTAAATCCATTTTGATCCTACATTTGATTCAAAAAGCAAAGAAATTTAATGCAATTGTAATCATTAAAGACAACTACAAAATTTTTCATATAATATAAGAGCCAACTAGACCAGAAATCATTTATCTAACAAAGAATCATTCATCTTTCAAGTGAATCTTTCACTCCACATGAAGACATGTAGAGAAAATCAATCAATAATCATAAATTCTATATTGAAACGACCCCTAGGAAAGGAAAAAATTCAGTAAATTCTCCATTGATAAGGACAAGAAAGAAGTCATATATGAGCCCTTAAGCAGGTCCTCTGCTCCTAATAAACCTTTTCCTGAAGTGAAGCATTCAAAATTAACTTTTCAGGAGCGTAAGTTCAACCAATTTTTGAAATCTATGCATACTTAGCGTTTGAAAGAGGTAAACCAAAACACAATAAAGGTTCTCTCTTTTCCATCTACTTCTTTACAAAATAGTCAAGTCAATAAACATATCCCACCCAAGACATGGGAATATGTAAGCTTGAAATCAGAGCAAACCCAAAAACAAATACAATCAACACTCAAACAACAACCTCAGCTACCCTATAAAAATGAGACTACAGTATCAAATAATTGATATCAAAGGAAAACATAACATAAACTTATTCATTACATACTTGAATCGCCATAGCTGCAAAAACCACTGGTCAAGACCTTCTTCTCCCTCTTGTGCTAATCTTTCTGCAACTATATCGTTGGATATTACTTCCCTCCCTTACGCACAGATCACAACACCAAGTAGTGAAACTAATCTTTCTCTATATAAATCCCCAAATAAGAACAGTAGAATACAAACAAGCAAATCACAAGTCCAAGCCTTCTTCCCACTTTCCACTAGAAAGCTAGAAACGAAATCAGAGAATCGTGTACAAAAAGGGATCCACCTTCTTGATCCAAAAGAATATTTATCATACAAACACTTCCTTGACTATTAATCAAACAACAAACACAACCACCCAATGAATTTTCACCGGTGATCAAGCTTCTACTACTTCTCTCTCTAATGGGTGACAGTGTTATTGATGGGTCAGAAACGAAGAGAGAAACTTGAAAGCTTTAGGTAAGAAAAGGAAGATGAAAAAGAAGAAGAAGAAGAAGAGAAGTTGGAAGTGAAATCTCCGACTCTTGAGACTACTTTGTGATTGTGAGGAAAAGAAAAAGGAACAAGGACGGGATGCCACGTCAGATGTTGAATTTTCATTTTTTTTTCTCGTCAAAAAATTCAAAAAGCACAAATAAAACAGTTTTTTTTTTTCCGACATCGAAATCTCGAGAATTCGAAGGAATCTTGTGGCTCACGGCAAAAGTTGTCATAGACACGTGTCGTACGCCTGTCGTGGCTGTTGGTCTTTCTATTTTTTTTAATTCGGTGAGCGAAGAAAAAGCGTACCCAGAAATAGCACTTTGTGGATAATTTCGAACATGTCACACTCGCGGGTGCGACTGAAGCAACTTGCTACTCGCGAGTTGCGGAATGCCACGTTGCCCCTTTTAGTTTAGTGCACAATTAAAGCGTGGCCCACATTTTTCCCAATAGCGAAACAGATAAATGCCATTATTTATCAGTTTCTGTTCAAATATTCTCCTTGTCTTTCTTTTTTTATTTTATGTGTTATGTTAAATTTTAAAGTGGGTTTTTAAATAAATTAAAATTGTATACTTAGAGTTAGATTAACTATATCAATTTTTTTAACATATATTAAGTCACTTGCAAATAAATACTATTTTTTATCACTTTCATTATCAAAATAGTTATAACTGTACTTGTACTTATTAAATTTGTTTTGATTTCCATCAAAATTATATTTTAAACACATGACCAACTGACCAAGTACTTTAGGTTTGTTTCTGATTTTAGTTTTCGCAGCCAAACTTGACTTTACTGAATAGTGAATCTAATGAGTTATGATTACACTTTTATGGTCCACCGTAAAAAAAAAAGTGTTGTCTCCCTTTCCAATTCAGCAATATCATAATTTTTGATATTTTAGAAAGCTTATATTATAAATTTAACTAATTTAAGATACTAAAAGACTGCAGGAAAAAATTGTATTTAATACTTTATTTTACAATATGTTAAAGGAGTGGAAACGGTGAACCTAATGGGAATTTAATTGTAGTTGACTTGGTAGTTAAATAACTTTAAAAGAACAATAAACTTTCCTACACTCACAATATTTTGTGGGGTCTACACTTTTTAAAACAAAAAAATAAATAAAAAATTTAGGCACGCAAAACGAATCTCTATAACATTATACAATCACTTTTCCTACAACATAACTCTTATAAAACCCAAAAAGAAATTAGACAAAAGTGATGTAGAGTTTTTTAAGGCAAAAGACAAAAAATGAAGAGAGACTGAGGAACACATGTGTGAGTGAGAGTGAGGTAGAAGAAAGTAAGAACTGCATAAATGGTGCTATACAGACAGACAAAGATAGATACTGCAATAAAAAAATAAATTAAATTGCTGTATATAATTAAATGAAAGGATATTTGTGACGTTTAAATATCTTGAACCTGAAAAAAAAAAAAAAAAAAAAAAAAGAAGAGTGAATGTGGTAGGCCAAGCCTTGAGTTGTGGATTATTAAAAGAGCGATAGAGAAAGAGTGTGTGTGTGTGAGTGGTACTTTTTTCTTTGCACTTTTCGCCACGTCATGACCACTTGCCGTCCTACGAAAGGAGCACCGCCACGCGTACAAAGTGTAAAAGGGATAGAGATCGCTCTACACCACTCGTTCTTTTTATCCCCCTCTCTTTTTTTTTTGATACATTATCCCCTTCTTTTTAAAATCAATAATTTTGTAACCACATATTTCTGTTTTGGGATTTTGTTATTCTGGAAAACAATAATATTAGAAAGAAAAGGTATCTGGGGAGTGCCAGGTGTTAGTGAACATGGAAGGTTGCAATCAATATGGAAATATAAGGCCCAACATTCTGTTGAAAAATAAATGTTAGCTGCTTCTATTATTAAATATACCTGTAATGTGATTACCAAATATATATATATATATAGGGGTTTTATAAGAGTTATATTGTAAGAAAAGTGATTGTGTAATATTATAGAGATTCGTTTTGCATTCCGTAATTTTCTTTTTTTCTTTTTTCTTCAAAAAATGTGAGTCCCACAAAATGTTGTGTGTGTAGAAAAATTTGTTATGTCATGTTAAATGACAAATGCAAACCCCTATATATATGGGCTTATCGTTTCTCAAGCTGCTTAAGACAAATATTATTTCCGGCTACTAAATCATAACCGTACAAAGATAGATCAAAGGAGATAAAGGAAGAGAGAGAAAAAGAGAATCATAATCATCCAAAGGTGAATCAATTAATATAAGGAAATAAATAAACAAAACGACGTAGTTTTGCGATGGCCGGACATAAACTTATCTCAAGCAGTTTGAGAAATATTTTTCCATATATATATATATATGTCAGGTATGATTATTTGATATTAGTGTCAAATTTAAAATTTGACACCTCATACTGTTAGATCAAAAAAGACCAACGACTTTGATTTATAAGCATTTGACACCATTGATTTTTTTTACCTAATGGCTATCAGATGAGGTGTCAAATTTAAAATTTGACACTGATATCAAAAGATCGTATATATATATATATATATATATATATATATATATATATATATATATATGAGATATGATAAATTTATACCGGTATAAAAACAAAAAATTATATCTAATATTAATTATTAATTTATTTGTATCTAATCACTTATATATTTAATTAATTAAATCTATTGACAGTAGAAAAATCGAACTCATCTAACTGTTACAAATTAAACTAAAAAAATGATAACAGATTATCTAATTAACATAATTATACAGACAAAAATAAATAACTCAATCAATCAATCAATCAATCATGTACACCTATCAAACACTGACACTTTGAAATCTCTGACGTGTCATGTGCGATACTTCAATACTCAGTGCAACGACTCAAAAAAATTCAAAATTTATGTTGCGTTACATTTTGAGTTCTAACTATTACATCCACTTTTTTCAGACACTTTTACTACCACCATTTTATTGATTATTGGGTGCGTTGGTGGCATTTATATTATATATTTTAAAAAATATATTTAAAATATTAAAATTATTTCTTTTTCTCTATCTTTAAAAACTATTTCATCTGATATGGTGCACTTGTATTGATTAATTGTATATATCACTGTTATACTAAAAATATTTCCGCTGGGTGGAGCCACTGATAGGTAAGGTTTGGCGACAAGACTGAGTCTGACTAATACCCATTTGGTATCCACTCCATTTTTCCAACAAGATATTGAGATATTGATTATTGACTTATGCAAGCTGGAGAAAATTAATAATATTCTATTCATTTGTTATGTTTTTCATATTTTAATTTAACTATTAAAATAAACTTTTTGTTTTATGTTTCTTTTAGTTCACCGAATACGGAATTAATCCGATTCTTGAGGGAGACTACTGTCCCAGAATTATTTTCTTCGTTCCTTAATTGTGAACTCAAAATATTTAATTAAAAAGGAAAAACTTTTTATAACCATTAAAATAGACTTTAATAAACACTTTAGTGTAGAAAAAAATTCTTGTTGGTGACTAATGGAATAAAAAGCATTTAAATTTCATTATAAATAGTTCTAAACTTGTAATTATAGAAAGAGATGATAATAAACATTTTTTTAGTTTCTTATAATATAACGAATATTTTGTTTTTTATTTCCTTACCGCTATCCTAAAAATACTTCGTCACTAAATTCTAAAAAATAACACTTCAAGTAGTGGCGGAGTCACGGGAAAAAAAGTTAGATGTACCAAAAGATTCAACCAGATAAAATTAGATGGTGTCAATATTATATTATTTTTAAAATCTAACTAATATCAAGGCTGTATCATAATTTTTAAAGAAAAATTATATTATTTTAAAAAATTAGGTGCTATCAAGGCACCACCTACCTCCCAAGTGACTCCGCCACTTACTTCAAGCATCTATAAATAATACAAATAGGAAAAACTGTGTATCATTTTAAAAGATGTAAAGTTGTGTCATTTTAAGTGAGAGAAAGAGATAGGTAAAGGAGGAGAGGGAGTGAACAAAAAAATATAAAGGTGTGGGTCTCACATCTTTGTGAGAGTGAAAGGATATAAGTTGTGTCATTTAAAAGGACAGACATTTTTCCCATACAAATATTCTTAAATATTAAAATAATAACTATGACTATAATATATTATAAAATATATGAGGAATGTTATATTTACAAACTTAACTATGTATTAAGTGTAGTATATGAGTTGATTTATGTACTGTCCTTATTGCATGGTTAAGTTTGTAAGAGTTTATAAAAAAAATTTATAAATATAATCTTCTTCAGAATATATATATATATATTCACCTTTTTCTTATGTTGCTGAAAAAAATCTTCTCATGTCACTTCTTATAACTATATACTATGGGGAGTACATAATTATAATATTTAAATTATTTTTTTCTGTCTCTCGACATCAGCAGACAACTTATAAAGAGAAAAAAAAATGATTTTAATATTATAACTATATATTTCCTAAAATAAATAGTTATAATAAGTGACATGAGAAGTTTTTTGTAGCAACATGAAATATTATATATATATATATATATATATATATATATATATATATATATATATATATATATATATATATACGAGGTAGGATACTTTGACACCGGTGTCAAATTTGAAATTTGACATCAAATCCTAACTGTTGATTTCTGACAATCAACAATTATCATTTATTGGGAATTAATAATTAATTAATAAGTTTGATTCCCAATAAATGATAATCGATGATTGGCGGAAATCAACGGTTAAGATTTGATGTCAAATTTCAAAGTTTGACACCAGTGTCAAAGGATATATATATATATATATATATATATATATATATATATATATATATATATATATATATATATATATATATATATATATGGGTAAAGGATTTCTCCAGTCACCGGAGGTAAAGTTATCTCCAGTGAGCTCAATACGACGTCATTTTGAGGCAGAAATTAAGGTGTTTTTGTAATTATAATTTTTTAATCTTATAACCCAAAACGACGT